GTTGCAATTTCGGCGCAAAAGCCTTTTTTTCTCTTTTCTCTTTTCTCGAAAGGAAGCAGCGAGTTATTTTAGCTGTCATAAAGCTCCATCCCACACAGAGGAAATGAACAATATCAGAAAAACGGATCCGGGCTATCAGAAGCCGAGTGTTTCCTGAATGCGCCTGTATTGAGGATGTCGATAAAATAATCAGCAGCGCGCACGGCTCCCGGAGACGAGCCAGCTCCGGGCCTCCAGGAAAATAACTTTACAGCTTCTGAAACCAGATTTGGCTCCTATCAAGAGCTCAAGATATCCTGTATGAACGGAAAGGGGTTCAGCCAACCTCGCTCAGGCGGCACGAAGAGNTTATGCCCCGAGTGAAGTGGAACCGTCGAAAACCGAGGATCAACTTTAGACTTACACCCTATATTTTTTTTTTAAAAAAAAAGGTGGGGGGGGGGAATCCACAACCGCCTTCTTAATTTTATTTGGTCCCGCTAGCCAAATAAACGAATTTTAATTTGAAATTATTTCTCCTACGCACACCACAATATATGTGAGTGAAAAAATAAAATATTCTTTGTCCTTTTTAAAATTATACCGACAAACGGGATCGAAGAGGCAAGAAGAAAACGGCTTTTTTTCCCCCTTTCTTTTTGGAATTGGCACAGAGCTTCACCCCAATGAACATGAGGACTAGGATCTTATAAAATCACCAGGTTTAGGAGCCTGTAGACTGTATCGCTAGATGACCTTACTTAGTGAACATAAAGTGTGTGGCAACGTCATCGGTGCTGTTTCACTGCCTAATTTCCTTACAGAAACAGCTACTCAGCCAGGAATATCCAACTGGTCCCTGCTTTCCGTCTCTTTTAGATTGCAATCCTATATCCTCCCTCCTAGCTTTGCTAGCTCAAGAGGCAGGTATATAGGATCGCTCCCTGTTGCCTTTTTCTCTAGCAATTCGTTTTTGTGTTAAAACGTTGTGGAAGAGACTTCAGCTATTCTCTTAAAATTTCTGTAAATGTCACTGCAAAAAGTTACACAATTTATTCAGCAGTTACATCTGTTTTTGAATTCGGGGGAATATTCCTCGGGCTCGAGTTGAATGCCAGGTTACAACGCCACAATTATTAGAAAACCTTAAGGTTGCAAATAAACCCGAATTGGATTAGCTGAATATTTTTTTGAATAGTGAGTATTCTGCAATAAATATTATTGTTGTGTTGGGTTTTCCGGTTTACGGGAAGGAAGGAGATTTACTTCCAAATAATGTAATCCAGGTGATAAATCAGCAAAGCAATATAAAACCAAACACAACAATAATATTTATTGCAGAATACTCAGTATTCAAAAAAAATATTCAGCCCCTTTTATAGATAATTTGTATAAACATAAATCAATGAATGGAATTACTAATGAAAAGGCAGAATACACACACTCAGACAGAGCTTTTAGATTTGCAAATACTTGAGATATATTATTTGTTTTTGTGGATGTAAATTGATTCAGAAAAAGAAATAAGTGTGTAGTAAACTATAAATTCCTAGAATGGCTTCTCCAGAAAAGCCATATGGATATGCCAGGAAACTTGGTTAAATTATCTCTGTTCAGGACAAACCGAGTTAATCAATCCTCCTCAACTACAGAAAAAATAGACAGAAGGAAGCAAACTGACATATTTTAAGCTTGGACTCGAACACATTTAAAGACAAAAATCCCATTAAAATGTATGGACGTGCTTCGCTGTTTTATTTATCTTTCGAAATAACTAGAATATGTGTGGAAAAAGTGAGAGGGATTTGGGAGGAATTCGTTACTGTTCAGCTTCTGTTTCAATCTGGGGAAGGCTGACCTGCGTCCCCATGCCCCGATAAAACCTTGATATGGTGAGCCACAATCCCACACTTCTACCATGGGGAGAATTCACACGTTCTCTTTATATGAAATGGCCATTCCCCCTAGGTTGCCTCGGTGTTGTTTATTCTGAAAAAGAGCTTCTGCCTTTTCAGGGAAACGGATATTACTCTTCACAAACTAAACCCGCAAGGGAATACACACTCAGGAAACAACTCCAGAACCCCCCCCCCCCCAAATCCCGAGTCAGACGCCTTCGGAGGTTAGATTTTTTTCTGGAAACCCCGCTTCTGATTGACTTGACCTCCATTCACTCAACACAATGTTGCGGTTTCCAGGATGCCCTGAATTAATTCGATCGCCCATCCGGCCTGCCCCAAATGCTGGGCTTAAATAGCAATAGCAGTTAGACTTATATAGCGCTTCCTAGGGCTTTCAGCCCTCTCTAAGCGGTTTACAAAGTCAGTATATTGCCCCCCAACCCTCACCACCCTCCAGGCCTTCCGCAAAGCCCTTAAAACCTGGCTGTTCCGACAGGCCTGGGGCTAAAGAGCTTTTGCCCCCCACCCCCCCCTCGAATGGTATGGTTGTCGTGTGTTTTTTAAATTGTGTATTGTAATGTTCTGTCTTTTTTTTATCCCTTGTCTGTACCCCTTTCCCTGACTTGGATTGTGAGCCGCCATGAGTCCCCTTTGGGGAAAATATAAATGCAATAAATTTATATTTAAATATAAATTTATTGCATATAAATGCAATAAATTCCAATTCCAATAACAATCCGGGTCCTCATTTCACCCACTTCGGAAGGATGGAAGGCTGAGTCAACCTTGAGCCGGTGAGATTCGAACCGCTGAACTGCAGAGCTGCAGTCAATAGCAATAGCA